ATATATATATATTTATCCACATTTGCCTCTTGGAGAGTCCCAATGCACGTGAACAAATCAAAGGCTCTGAGAAGTCCTGCAGTAAAAACAAAAGAGAAACCTATTTAACTCTGCTTACCAAGGCACTGCCTAAGCTTACTTAACCACGGATCCTTTATTTTTATTTGATCCCATTTCTTTAATTTCAATTAAAATCACCAAATTACTGTTCCACTGAACCCAATTTTGGAAATGCTGATATTCTGTAAAGATGTCAGCATTGCCCCTCGCTCGCCTCAGGACCTGAATAAATTATGTCACCTCTTTAGTCCTCGGTTTCCTCCTCTGTAAAATGGAGCTGAATTATGTTCATATCAAAGGCTTTTTAAAAATATTCAATGTGTGTGAAAAGTGCCTGGCACCAAGCATGTGTTCAGTATATGTGGATTCCCTTCCCCCAGATCTGACAGGCCCCTGGGTAGAGTCTAGGTACTGGGACCCACCCCACAGCAGTGGTTACAAGGCCCACCCGCTGCCCTTGACGAGTTCACAGGGTGGGGGTGGGGTACAGGTAGGGGCCCCAGCATTCACAGTGCTTGCTGATAAGTGCTGTGATGTAGGGGAGCACAGGAGCATGTGAGCGTGCCCCAGGGGTTCCTCTCTTAGCCAGGGGAGGGGGGTGCCTGAGTGTGACTGGAGAATCTAGGAAGGAAGGATGGAGGAAATGCAGAGTGCCTGACTCATCTCGGGTAGGCTGTGACTTTGCTGGTTTTAGCACTGAAAGTCCCAACTCCTGGGACATCATCCCCATTGGTCACCCCATTTCCCAGTGCCTGAGGAGATCTTAGGGGGAGTGATCAAAGAGAGGCGTTCTTGGGCTGGGCAGGGTCTTTGTGTCAGGGCAGGTGTCCCACCCCATGGGTAGGGCTGGGGGAGTGGGGCGGAGGGAGCCCTTCCCCTGCATGAGCAAGGGCTGCCCTGGCCTTGGGCGGAAAAGGTCACACTGCCACCTGCCTCTGCCCCCAGGGGAGGTGTTCTTTGCCACACGCCAGGAACAGTTCACCTTCCAGGAAGCCCTGGAGTTCTGTGAATCCCAAAATGCCACACTGGCCTCCACGGGCCAGCTCTATGCCGCCTGGAGCCTCGGCCTGGACAAGTGCTACGCTGGCTGGCTGGCCGACGGCAGCCTCCGCTACCCCATAGTCACCCCTCGGCCCGCCTGTGGCGGGGACAAGCCCGGCGTGAGAACCGTCTACCTCTACCCCAACCAGACAGGCCTCCTCGACCCGCTGTCCCGGCACCACGCCTTCTGCTTCCGAGGTATGTGTCCTCACCTCTCCTCCAGCCCCCACTTCTGCTTGGGCAGATGACTCCCCAGGGCTGACCCCTCCTGGCCCCTGTCCACTGTCCCCATCCATTGGAGCCAGGAGGAAAAAGTCAGTTCCTCTGGTGCAGGGGCAGCTCTGGAGCGAGGCTGTAACCCCCAGGTAGATGCACCCATCAGAAGTTTCCCAGAGACAAGTAGAGAGAAGTGAGTAAGAATTCTAAACCCAGGCATACCTGAATTTTCATTGTGACTCTGCTGCTTAGTAGCTGTGTGACCTTGGGCAAGTCCCTTAACCTCTCTGTTCCTCTACTTCATCTATAAAATTGTAGTTCCTACTTCAAAGAGTTGCTGTCAGGATTCACTGGGATCGTGCATGGAAACACTTGGCATAGTGCCCGGGACATAGTAAATGCTCAATACATGTTCTGAGCTTTATTCTCATAAATCAATAGCACATATATGTATACTGTTTTAATTTGTACACCCTTATCAAATTCCTGCTCGTAAATAGTTTGGTGACGAGTTTAGTCAAATGATTCTCTTATTCTTCACTAAGCACTAAAAATTCACATTTTAAATCAGCCCATGCTGAGGACACACGCTGCCATCTCAACCATCAATAGCAGTCACAGTTCTGAGAGTGATGTCATCAAACTACTCAGTGAACATGGCCAGGCTGTGTCCAAGGCATTGTTGGGCTCTGATCGGATGGGTTCTCACAGGGTGCTTGAGCCTGGGTGCACTGACCAGAATATAGATTGTAGTAACAGCTTGTGCCATATTTTACATACTATACATCAAAACTGAATGTCTTTGTAACTTCCCTTGAATCTATTATTTCAGAAGAAAGTTAATGAAAAAAAAAAAAGCCTGACTGTCCCCAAGTTTCCCAGATTTCCAGGGGCACCTTTTAAACCCAGTTGAAAGAAAGTTCAGCCCCACTCTGCCAACCTCAAGAAGGCCAGTCCTTTCTCAAAGGATTCAGTGAGGCTCTCGCCCTTCTTCCTGCTCTGGGCAGCAGAAACCAAGCCATTTTGCCCCCCAGTAAATTCCCAGCCATGCACCCCACCGCCACCCACAACGTTCCGTGAACTCAGCCCTTTATGTAACTGAGACAGTCGGCTTCCTTTCTTACCAAGCCCACTCCCGGTTTCCCCAGTGGGCGAATTCCACCTTTACCCTGCGGTCACAGGATGGCTTCATGGATTTTAAATAGCACTCTCCTGTTTTTGATGCTGATGCACTTGGAACCTAATTTCTGTCCCCCAAAAAAGGCAACATCGGGCAGTAATTGACAGCATGGAGTCCAGCACCAGATACTTGGTTGAATTCAAAGACTAGATCTGCCACTTATAAACCACTGAGCCTAGGCAAGTCACTTAACTCTGTGCCTCAGTTTCCCCATCTGTAATAGTATCGCTCTCATCAGGCTGTGATGGGATAAAATGCTTTTATATACATAAAGCTTTTAAGTAACGCCCAATGTGTATGTTAAATTCTATAGAAGAGATGCCCCAGACCGCCCTGACGTACAGTGTTGATGGCATGTGTATATCCAATAGTGTATAGCTGATGCGAATGGCTCTTATAAATCGAGGAGGCCAAAGGTGGTCTTGCTGGACTGCAGGGTGGAGGTGGTGGGGAGAGACCCAGCAAGGCTCTTGCACAGGCCTGGCCCACCTCAGAGTCCCCCAGGTCCCCTCAAGAAGGGCCAGCTGGGATGGGTCACTGGTACAGAAGGAATGCTCACCACCCACACCCCCTTTAGGTGTCTCAGCTGCACCCCCTCCAGGCGAAGAGGAGGGTAGCACACCTACATCACCGTCCGACTTAGAAGACTGGATAGTGACCCAAGTGGGACCTGGTGTGGCTGCTGTCCCCTTAGGGGAAGAGACGACTGCAATCCGAGATTTCACCATTGAGCCAGAAAACCAGACGGCATGGGAATCAGCCTACACCCCAGCGGGCACTTACCCATTGCCAGGTCTGTGGGATCTTCTCGGCCTCAGAGGGCTGTGTTTAGAAGAATGATTCTCACACTCAGGGAAGTGTCAGCATCATTGGGAGGGCTTCTCAAGTCACACTGTGCTGTGCCCCACTGTCTCTGATTCAGTGGGGCAGGGTGGGGTCTGAGAATTTGCTTTTCTATCAAGCCTACAGGCAGCGCTGGTGCTGTTGGTCCAGAGCCCAGGCTTTGAGAAGCATGGATTTAGATAAATGAGATGATGTAGAAGTACCTGAAAGATGACCTGGATTGTCTTCAGTAGTAGCCAGGCCTCCACGTCCAGTAGGTTGTGTGGATGGTGCCCCCTAAAATCTCACAATGCACAGCCTGAGGGTGGTGGGGAGTTTCCTGGTCCCTTCCCCCTCTCCTTCTAGAGACACTGTGCGAAGTTCCATTAGGAAATATCCGAACACATCTCTGAGCTCTTGAGAGGAAGGTTTTGCTGTAGAGGGAATGGAATTCAGCTTCTCTGCATGAGCTTAAATCGGGGCAGAGTTACTAAACCCACACCTCATCATTCTTCCTCCTTTCCTCCAGGGGTCCCCCCTACGTGGCCTCCCACTAATGCAGCAACAGAGGAGAGCACAGAAGGCTCTTCTGCAACAGAAGGGCCCTTGGCCTCGGAGGAGCCGTCCCCCTCAAAGGAGCTGTTCCCCTCAGAGGAGCCGTTCACACCTTCACCCCCACTTCCCAGCAGGACAGAGCTACCAGGCTCTGGGGAGACATCTGGGGCACCAGAAGTCAGTGGTGACTTCACAGGCAGTGGAGAAGCCTTGGGGCCCCTGGACTTGAGTGGGCAGCCCTCGGAAGACCTTGACTCCAGTGGTCTCACCTCTACAGTGGGCTCGGGCCTGCCTCTGGGAAGTGGACTGGCCTCAGGGGATGAATATAAAATTACGTGGTCCAACACTTCTGAAGTTGGTGGGCTGCCCTCTGGAAGTGAGGGCCTAGAGGGCTCTGTCTCTGGAGTAGAGGACCTCAGTGGACTGCCTTCTGGAGAAGGTCCAGGAGCCACTGCCTCTGGAGTAGAGGACGTCAGTGGACTTCCTTCTGGAGGAGAGGGTCATTTAGAGACCTCTGC